CCAAAATGAGCGTACACATGGGTCAGAGCTGTGAGGCACATTTTCACGTCAAGTTTGGATTTTATAAATTACAACCTTGGTGTAAAAAGTGGCGTACGCAAGTTTCTGGGCTCAAATTGTGCGTACGCCAGTTTTATAAATCTGACCCCAGATATGTATCTGGTGCTTTCAGGGTATATACCTGAAACATTTTGGGTATGTACCAGGTAATTACATAGTATCTACAGGGATGATTGCAGGATATCTGTGAGGACACAGCTGTATTATAAACTTAATACATCTAACAAAGATACAAGTTACATACTGTTTAAGTACCCTTAAGAACACTCTTGTGTGTACTTTATAGATACCAATACATTTCTTGTAAGTACCATGTACATACCCTGTAAAAGTCTGGTAAAAAGTTGTTTTATAATAAAGTCCAGTCCTCATTGTTATCCTGTAAGTACTGCATATGTACACACTTAGTACCAGGTACCTACTTGTCTGTACTTGGTCACTAGGTATGTACTTGTTTTTACCCTGTAAATACCATGTATATACTTTGTACATACCTTGTAAGCACACTGAAAGTACCTGGTAGATACCTTTTAAGTACCAGACTGTATTATGTATTACTGCCCAGTAAATGTTCAATGTAATAATCTTCAGGTAAGGTGCACACCTTGTGTAAATAATGACTGGTTGTGATGAGGCACCACTTCCTGGAAAAGAAAGCAGAAAACAAGGGTGAAAAACGAGAGCTGAAAGCCTCAGCAATACAACAGCGACCGTGCACATCTTGATACATAAATACAAGGTATTTATACCTCTACCAAATAGGACAAGGTCTAAGTACCAACTGAGACAAAAGTATACTTGCAGTGCGTTTGTGTGATACATGCCAAAATGTCTTGGTGTACAGTGTTGCTGGGGAAAGGGGTGTCTGGGTTTATCTCCCAGACCCTTTGCCTCTGTGACCCAACCATGGATAAGTGACAGAAAATGGAGACAAATCTGTTTGAAACTGTAACATCATAAGGTTTGATATGCACTTGTATCATTGGAATAAATGGTAAAAGGACTGTACTTATACAGCACCTTTCTATCCATCCAGGACACTCAGAGCTCTTCACTCTACAATCATCATTTACCCATTCACACAGCACTCTGTTAGCTCTCTACAAAGATAACATGTACAATCATCTATGGAGACTAATCAGTGCCAATCACATTTATACACTGATGGGACACATCAGAGGCATTAGAGCTGAAGTGTCTTGCCCAAGGACACAACAACTGAGACAGCTGGACGGGGGATGGAACCAGTGACCTTCAAGTTCCAGGACGACTCCTCTAAGCACTCTTCCACAGCCGCCCTGCATTTAACTATGTTGGATAAATGTCTTCTGCAGCCTAGAATTAATATGTACTGAGCAATAAACTGTTCATGTTTGAGAACTGATGTAATGTTTTGAAGCAGTTTAGTCTTAAGTGTTCTAGTCTTTAAAGCTTGCTCAAAAAGAGAGGAAAAAAAAAAAACAATTTGCAGCCACAACTAGATTTGGATCAGGAATTTTACAGGCTTCAAATTAGTTCAGATTATTTTCTCTGAGGAGTTGCAGGTGCAGTGACGGTATGACCTACAAGCTTGCTTGTCAAACCTTCCACTTGTGCCCTTTGTAATCTAAAGTCTGACAATGAGCTGAAGTAAGGACTGTGTGGACCACAGACTTAAAGACCACTTCTAAAACCACATTAATTAGCTTTACTCACAACAAACTCATGAGAAAAGCTCAAAAATCCTCTGCTGTGTTAATTCTGCACTCTGCTGCCTGCAGACAGCCATGAGGCATGTCCATACTGGGCATGGGCTGTCAGACGCCTGACTGATTGTAGGGGTAAAGTGGTTCAGGTTGAAGCTTTGACAGGAGGTGAGAAGTTGCTGCTCTAATTCATTACAGGTAAGACAGGTTGCTTAACTTTGTCATCATCACTTTCAGTTGAGATCTGAGAAAACTTAAAGCACTCATGAGCATCTGCTGACACCATCTGAAAACAAATCTGATGCTACATGCATCAAAATCCATCCGCGCACGTGTATATATATATATATATATATATATATATATATATATATATGATGGACTGTGATGGACTTGTGACCTGTCCAGGGTGTACCCCGCCCCTCGCACTGTGACTGCTGGATATGGGCACCAGTGACCCACGCGACCCTGAAAAGGAAGAAGCGTGTACAGAAAATGGATGGATGGAGGTGAAAACACCTGGTAAACCAGTCCCTTGTTCTTCACTTTACTTCATGCAGACTGTCTGGGACCTCAGCTGTTAAGAAGTGATTTCTTGCTGGAGGCGTGGGCTCAGTTGAAATTTTAAATGATTGAATCTGATTTTACCCAATCATTAACATTTCACTGTGACAGATGTAGTGTGCTATGCCAAGAAGCTAACCAGAAACTGGGTGTGCTGTAAATAACCATCCCTTACTGGGAAGAGAGGAGCACCAGGCCAGACGGCTGTAAATGAATGCTGCAGTAATATTTGTAGGGGTTAATCTACAACTTCTCATAACCAGAGTTATAAGGAAAATTATGAGTTCTTCTGTTTTAGAAAGAACACCTTCTCTGTGGAAATATGAGAGAAATCACACAATGAGTGAACATACTCGGTAATTTAAGTTTATGTAGAATAAATTATATTTATTTACAGAATAAAATAAAGTATGTATGTACAACTTATTGTGGACAATCAAACACACGTCCGGATTAATTATCATGACTTTGACAACTTTATCAGGAACAACAAACTTCAGGCGTAAGGTCTTAAATAAACCATTGTTTGTGGCACTTTTTCTTTAAGGTTTTGTCAGGGAGTAAGCAAAGATTAATAAATAGAGAGAAAATGAGCGTTAACTCTCACGTTTTATGTTATCAGTGTGTGAGGAGCCAGGAATGAGCACATGGGTCTCCCACTCGAACAAGCAGACACCAGATGCTGGAATAATCAAACCTCTTGAAGTCTTACAGGACAGTGAGCTGAACCTGACCGGAGCTCTTGCTGACCTGGGAGAGGACTTCCTGAAAGCCTGACCTGACTGTGAAGTCGTCTGAAGGTAGAGGCTGATTGTTTGATCAAGCACACCCGTGTCCGGCTGAATCAAGTGGGAGAGTCATGTGCTCATTCCTGGCTCCTCACACAATGATAAGATAAAAAGTTAGACTTAACCCTCCTTTTCTCTCTGTTTATTAATCTTTGCTTACTCCCTGACAAAACCTTAAAGAAAAAGTGCCACAAACAATGGTTTATTTAAGAAGTTTGTTGTTCCTGATAAAGTTGTCAAAGTAATGATAATTAACTCAGACGTGTGTTAACTGTTGTTGATTTCAACTATTATAAGAAATTTGATCGTCCACAATAATTTGTTCATTAGTAATTTATTTTATTCTGTAAATAAATATCATTTACTTTAGATAAACTTAAATTACAGAGTACGTTCACTCATTGTGTGGTTTCTCTCATATTTCCACGGAGAAGGTTTTCTTTCTAAAACAGAAGAACCTGTGAGTAGATTTGCACTGTTTTTCAGTTTATTCAACATTTTATTCAACTGATTCTAAAATTGTCCCTAAACTCTAACATGTCCCTAAGTGTGAGTGAGACAGTGAATGGTTGTTTGTCTCGTTTGTCTCTATGTGTGGCCCTGTGATGGACTGAG